GTTACCAATTTCACCTATGAAAAAAAAAAAAAAACCATTTAGGAGCATAAAATATTTTTAATTTTATATACATGTGGTTGAAATAATAGGCTTTGTTGCCACAAACACTTGATTTGAAATCCAGATTTATTATCTTTTTTTACTTTGGCAAGTTATTAAACCTCTGAGCCTTAGTTGAGTCACCTGAAAACCAGAGAATACTCACTCAGAACATTGCTGTTTACCTTACCTGATAAAATATATATATATATATATATGGATAAGCACCAAGTACATATAAAAGCTGTTTTTTCTCTCCTAATAATTATTACTGTATTAGGAGACAATCACTACAACTAACCTGCCCAATACAGCTACAGATATATCCAGAATTGTTACAAACAGTTATATTCCTTCCATTATGCAAGTAAGTCTCACAATAAAGTGACATCACCTAATTAGAAAGATTACAGGGGTTTTGATTCACATGTAGAAATCAACAGTCATGGGGGAAGAATTTTGAAAAAGTGAGGTAAGTTCAGCTGCATGAGTAACAACTAGAAACCTAAGTACCCTCCAATGATGACTGTGACCCAACAGTTCTTCGGAAAAAAAGCTCTAAAATGTCTAAGATAATAATGAGAATGACACTGTGACAGGGCCCTGTCCGCCGAGTCCTGGAACAGGGGTGAGGAAAACAGTGACGTTCTCCAGTCAGCAACTCACCTATTCTTACGCACACTGCCCCTGGTGTGCAGGACAGGTTCGGGGATCAGAGGAGTGCAGAGGGTTAAAACCCAGGCCTAAGTTTCTGGCTGTATGCCAAATTATTTAACCCCAGTTTCTCAGCTGTAAATGTAAATGATGACAGTTATCACTATACAAGGCCATAATAAACATTCAATGAGCTTATCATGTAAAGGGCTTGCTGAGAGCAGTGCCGGGATATGTTAAGCACTCAATACATGTGCCCCTTGCCTCCCAGGACACACTTTCTTGATTTTCCTTCCACCCTCGTCACTCCTCAGTCTGCTGAGCTGCATACACGCAGGGCACAACTCCAGGAGTCCCAGCAGAGAACTGCTGTGAGAGGCTCAGAGCTAGACAGGGACTTCAGAGGTCACACAGGCTGCAGTTGGGGCTCACCCAGAGTGGCGATCCTTGAACACCCCTGGCATCCAGACCCCAGAAAATACATGCCTAAGAATAAAGACAACACTTAATGAGTAAGAGACAGAAATGAGAAATTCTAGAAACAAGGGCAAAATTGAAATGGACCACCCCTAACAAATTTGAAACCCAATTTTGACAGGCTCAAGGTGATCTACAATAATTTATTTTTAGAGGAAGCCTCTATAATGCATCACGTACAACTTCTAGCATACAATAAAAATTATTACATATGCAAGGCGGGGTAGTGACCAATAACCAAGAGATAAAATAATCAACTAAAAGCAAACAAAAATGAACAAGGACTGCACAATAGCTATAATTAATGTCTAAGAAAACAGAGAAGAAGATGGGAAAGATAGGTAACATGCAATATTTTAACAGAATTAAAATCTATTTAAAAAGAATCAAGTGTACATTTTAGAACTGCAAAATTCAGCATCCAAACTTAAGAATTTATTAGATGGGTTTAGAAGCAGACTGAACACGTTAAATCTATTATCTAGCAGATACAATTAATAAGTGCAAAGAAAGGCCAATAGAAAACATAAACTGAAGCATGGGAAAAAATGGAAAAAAGCAAGCAGAACATGAAAAATACTTGAGTCAGCGTCAAACAGGTCCAACAGTAAATGTAACTGGAGTGCCAGAAGTAGAAGTGAGGATTAAAAAAGTATTGGAAGAAATAATGGCCAACAATTTTCCAAGTCTGTTTAAGGACATTAACCAAAAGATTGGAGGAGCTCAGAAAACCTTAGGTAGCATAAATAAGAAATTCACACCTTAGAAATCACAGTAAAATGCATAAAAACCAAAGATAAATATTTGAAAAGCATATGATCATACCTCTTAGGGTTCTCCAACTTAATCACTCCCTTCCCTGCTGTTACCTAGCACTTTACAGACCTCACAGTGGCTGTTCCCTTGGTCAGGGACACTCTTCCCCAACGTGTCTCTCCAGACACCATATTTAAAAGCCACAGCCTACTCGCTACCCACTTATGCACCTTCCTTTCCACCCCATCATGTCCTTAGACTTCCAGTCACCCTACCATGCCTTATTTTCTCTCATAGTACTCTTCACCTTCTCATATATGATTTACTTATGTTTACTACTTATTGTCTGTTTCTACCCACTGAAAGGTATTCTCTGAAGGGATAGGTATCTGTTCTGTTAATTGTTGTACCCTAGGTATCTTGAGCAGTACTTTGCATATGTAGGTGCTCAAAAATTATTTCTTGAATACTATTACCATTATTATTCCAAGCCCTTTTAATCACCAAATAACTTGTTCATGCCATGTGCTCCATATAACATTCTCATAGCTTTCTCTATTTACCTTTAGAAATGCTTTTGACAGGTGCTACAGTGGTAATAAAGGGCAGTAAATAAAAAACAGACTCTGGAGCCGGATAGCATTGACATACAAGTTACAGGATTCCACATACACACATTCTCCACCCTATATATATGTATTCTTTTACAGAATATAGGCCAACAACCTATACATACTCATAGTAGCAATGATGTCAATTTGTAGTGCTCTTATAGGTTCCAAGCATTTTTACATATTAATGCATTTAATCCTTCTATCAACCTGATGGAAACCAAGGCACAGGAAGGTTAATCTGTATCAAGTCAGACAGCTACTAAATGACTGAGGCAGGATTTAGATCCATGTTGGGTTCTTATTTTTAAAAATACTTTTTAGATTAGAAAGGATAATTCCTAAAAAATAAAAGTGAACTACATAGAACACTTAAATTTAAGTCTGTTAAAAGAAAGCAAAATGACCTTTCTTAGCATGAAAGAATGGAATGCAGATATTAGTAGATGTCACTAGGTGATGCTCTTTGTTCAGTCTCCCTCTTGGTTATCTGAGGAATGATAACTTATTCAGATGGGAAAACACTTATTCTAGGCCTAATAATAATTTAGTTGTCTATTAACCACAAAAGTTACACAGTCCAGAAAATAAATTTATATGCAACCAGGTAAGCCACACAAACTGGGAAAGAAACTTTCAGTAAGACAGCAAGCTTAGATTACTGAGACTTTCACATGGTAATGAACATGGTACCTCTCTCCACTTATTTTTATCTTCCTCTATCTTTGCCTCCATTTTCTGTAATGTCTTGAGAAAATTTTATACTTTTGTCGACAGAGTCCTTGAGTATTTTAAAAATTCACTTCTGGTTGACATATTTTTGATGCCACTGTAATGTTATCTGTCTTTAGTTTTTACGTTGAAATATTTTAAAGTGAATTGACATTACACCCTTAAATATTTAGTATGCATTTCTTAAATAACGTTATTAAAATAATGCCTTAATAGCATCTAATAACCAAAAAACCAGTCAAAATGTAAAAAAGAGCTCAAACTTGGTACTGGAAAAATAAAAATCAATTAGGCAAAGACATACATCACACACATATCAAGTTGACAAAATTTGCAAGTCTGATACCAAGTATTGGAAACAACACAGAAACACTGGAACCCTAACACACTGCTGTGGGGAAGGGAGATAACAATTCTTCTGGAAAGATAGCTTGGCATTATATTGTAATACTGAGGACATATAAACCTGATACCCTCAACCGCTGCTAGATTCACATATGCAGAAATGTATACCAAGAAATAAGATGCGTTTCAAAAAACACATAAAACAATGGTAATAGCAGTATTGTTTTTAACAGGAAAAAACTGAGATAACTCAAATGTCCCTCAACATAGACAGTGTAAATAAATCGTGCTATGCAAACACAACAGAATAAAACAAGATAATGTCAAATGAACGAATCAGAGCTCTTGTAACAACCTGGATCAATCTCACCAATTTCATAATAATGAAATACAGAAGAGATACAAAATCACATGCATAGTATAAGTCTGCTCAAAACCAATGCCTGCCACTTATTATTTTCAAACGGCTCAGCAAATAAAATGCGTATCCATTTCCACCCATTCAAATGCAAATAAATAAATAAAACATGGCAAATATGAATCTAGGTGGAAGTATACAGAGGTTCATTGTATTATTTTGTTACTTTTCTTTAGGTTTAATATTTTTCGAGATAAAAAGAAAAAAGTTCAAAAATTAGATAAAGCTGATTTATATCGTTTAGGAGTAGTTTCTTTTTTCTAAAGATTTTATTTATTTATTTTTAGAGAGAGAGGAAGGGAGGGAGAAAAAGAGGGAGAGAAATATCAATGTGTAGTTGCCTCTCAAGCGCTCCCCTACTGGGGACCTGGCCTGCAACCCAGGAACACGTCCTCACTGGGAATTGAACCAGTGACCCTTTGGTTTGCAAGCCAACACTCAATCCACTGAGCCACACCAGCCAGGGCTGTTTAGGAGTAGTTTCTTCATCTGGGAATAGATGTGTTTTCTTTATAATTATTTATTAAACTATACATATATATTATATATGGTTTCTCTATGTATACTTCACAGAAAAACAAAGGTAAATAATGTGATGATGTATATAAAGATACCTTTCAAAGAAAAAAACTTCTACTGACTGGCGTAGCTCAGTGGATTGAGCGCGGGCTGGGAACCAAAGTGTCCCAGGTTCGATTCCCAGTCAGGGTACATGCCTGGGTTGCAGGCCATAACCTCCAGCAACCGCACATTGATGTTTCTCTCTCTCTCTCTCCCTCTCTCTCTCTCCCCCCCTCCCTCTCTCTCTCTCCCCCCTTCCCTCTCTAAAAAAATAAATAAGTAAAATTAAAAAAAGATTATTTCCTTGTCTTTAAAAAAAAACAAAAACAAAAACAAACTTCTATACTTGTTAAACTTATTATTAAAAATAATTATAAAGCAACCAAACATTAAGTAAGGGGGCTTTCTTTATGTGGGTCATTTACTTGATATCAATTTATTAAAAAGTACATACTGAGGACCAATTTTTGAAGCTAGCAGTAATAATGTCATGATTTTTCCATGAAACAGTTCTTATATAACCATCAACTCTGAATCTTGTTTACTCTGATATTAGGTAGTATATTTTTCTAAATAATCCCCATGAACTGAATTTGATATCCCAATTCTCACTTTGGCATATGTTACTTAAAAATTTATTGTTAAGAATTTAACTCTGAATTAAAGTTTTATAATTATTCATATCATATATAATTTATACTGTCCATGTACAAATATGGCCATTTCTATAGGTTATTCCAAATTCTTCATTAGGATTTCACGGTATTTTTTGGTAAAATCCTCAAAGTCAAAATGTTCAGAATTTCATGTTTTCACATTTTTAATATATTAATTTATTTGACTGTCATCTTCTTCTGAGTCATCTAAATCAATATCAAAATCTAAATCAGCACTTTCTTCATTTCTTCTGCAGCTTCTTCTATGGCTGGAATGTGGGTTATTTTCAATGTCTTCTGTCTTTTCTGGTTCTTTATTAAACCTAAAGGTGAAAGGAAAATCTGTTTATTTCTCAGGCTTTTACTATTTAACTGTGTAGACTGAAAAAAACTTTACACTACATTTCCTGATTAATAGAAGCCTAATTAAATAAGTATAGAGAAAAAGATCCTTGAAGATTAATTTAACTCAAGATCCAATGAATTATAATACTGTTAATAAAGTATGCTCAAAGACATCAATGCATAATGTCCATTAAAGGAATGTAGTTACCTAATTTTCAAGGAACTTTTCTGTAATGAGTTAAGAAATATAAACCTTCATGGGTAAATATTTTAATTTTCTAAAAACATGAACTTTTACTTTTATTGTAATGATAAATTAAGGCTTTTTCCTGTATGGTAGAAAAAGTCTATGTTAGTGTGATACACTACAACTTAAGACTCTCAGAGCTACTGAACGCTTCCTTAAATAAAATTCACTTATCAATTACTAAAAGAGTAAAACCCAAACATAAAAGAAATACTCACGGAATAACAATGTCTTCTTTTTTCCCACATTTTGCACAAACTTCAAGTTCACAGGCACATGGTCTACACATTATGCGATAAGAATCCTTCACTGTCTTTTGTAAACATTTAACACTAAAAGTGGAAAATGAAATCAAACATTAATTTATGTTAATTATCTAAGATTTATTTGATAAAATGAGGAAGTACAGCTAAATGTATAGGTAAAAAGCCTAAAAACAAAACTAGATTTCAATTTCAGTTAGATATTTATCTTATGTAACTTTAGTTTCATTATACAGCATTTTTAGATAACAGCTCACAGATGCAAAATAACAATAGTACTTGAGATTTATCTACTTTTTCATTAAATACTTTTGAATTTTATTGTTCAAGTACAGTTTTCTGCCCTTTCCCCTCATCTCTCCTCACCCACCCCATATCTACTTCCTTAGAGCCTTAAAAAAATGTCATCTGCACAGAGACAGTTTTACTTCCTCCTTTCCAATGTGGAGGCTATTTATTTCTTTTCTTGCCTAATCACTCTGGCTAGAGCTTACAATACTATGTTGAATAAAAGTGGTGAGAGCACGCATCCCTGTCTTGTTCTGATCTTAGAGCTTTCCATTGTTGAATATGATATCGACTTTGGGCTTGTCACATGTGACACTTATTACATTGAGGTGCTTTCCCCCTATATCTACTTTGTTGTGAATTTTTATCATAAATGGATGTTGGATTTTGTGAAATGCTTTTTCTGCATCTATTATTAAGATGATCATATGATTTTTACCTTTCATTCTATAAATGTGTCATATGACATCGATGATTTGTAGACGATGAGCTACCCTCACATTCCTGGCATAAATTGCACCTGATTATGGTATATGACCTTTTTAATGTACTGTTGAATTTAGTTTGCTAATATTTTGTTGAGGATTTTTGTATCTATACTAATCAGGAATATTGGCCTACAAATTTCTTTTCTTTTGGTATCCTTGTCTAGTTTTAGTATCGGTGATGCAGCCTTGTAAAATGGGTTTAAAAGTGTTCCCTTCTCTTCTATTTTTTGAAAGAGTTGAGAAGGGTTGGTATTAATTCTTTGAATGTCTGGTAGAATTTGCCAGTGGAGCTATCTGATACTGCACTTTTGTGTGTGGGGAATTTTTGATTATTGATTCAGTCTCCTTACTAGTAATCAATCTATTCAGATTTTCTGTTTCTTAATGATTCAGTCTTGGTAGGTTGCATGTTTCTAAGAAGTGATCCATTTCTTCTAGGTTGTCAAATCTGTTGGTGTACTTTTGTTCAGAGTAGTCTCTTGTGATTCTTTGTACCTTCTGTGGTATCAGTTGTAATATTTATTTATTTTATTTATTTGATTCCCCTCTTTTTTTTTCTAAAGATTTATCAATTTTGTTTGTTTTTAAAAGATTTATATTTAAAACTTTATTTTCTATTTACTGATTCTAGAAAGATGAGGGCGAGAGAAAGAGCCATTGATCCCGTCATCCCACTCCTCCATGCACCCATCCGCTGACTCCTGCATGTGCCCCAACTGGGGAGCAAACCCACAACCCCTGTGCATCACGATGATGCTCCAACAAATGGGGCCACCTGGCCAGGGTGAGTTTTGTTTATGTTTTTAAGTAACCAGTTGTTATTAATGTTCTCTGTTATCTTTTTAGTTTCTATTTAACTTATTTCTGCTCTGATCTATGTTAATTCCTTCTTTCTATGAATTTAGTACTTTGTCCTTTCTCTAGTTTCTTGAGGTATAAAGTTAGGTTGTTTAAGATTTTTCTTGTTTCTTGATATAAGCAGTTATTGCTGTAAACTCTCTTAGAACAGTTTTTGTTGTACCCCATAACGTTTGGTATGTTGCATTTCCATTTTCATTTGTCTCAGGGTTTTCTTTTTTCTCTCTTGATTTCTTCTCTGACCCATTGGTTATTCAGTAGCATGTGGCTTATTCTCCACAAATTAGTGAATTCTCCAGTTTTCATCTTGTAACTGATTTCTAGTTTCACACCACTGTGGCTGCAAAAGATGCCTGACATGACTTAATGTTCTTAAATTTTTACTATTTGTTCTGAGGTCTAACATGTGATTTATCCTGAACAGTATTCCATGTACACTTGAGAATATATATTCTGTTGTTTTAGGACAGAATGTTCTGTATATATCTATATAATACTGTTAAAATGCCGATACTACAATACCTAAAGCAATATATAGATACACTGCAATCCCTATCAAAATTTTGATGGCATTTTTCCCCACAATAAAACAAAACAATCCTAAAATTGGTATGTAATGGCTAAAGACCTTATGTAGCCAAAGCAATACTGAGGAAAGAAAAACAAAGTTGGAGGTATACTGCTCCCTAATTTCAAACTATATTACAAAACTGTAGTAATCAAAATAGCATAATATTGGCATAAAAACAGACATATAGGTCAATGAAACAGAATAGAGAGCTCACAAATAAATCCACACATGTATGGTCAATTAATTTATCACAAAGAAGCCAAAAATACATCAATGGTAGCTTCCATAAATGCTGGGGCAACTGGACAGCCACATGCAAAGGAAAGAAATGCATCACAATTGTACACCATCCACAAAAATTAACTAAAAATGGATTAATGTCTTGAATGAAAGACCTGAAACCATAAAACCCCTAAAAGAAAACAAGCTGTAAGCTCTCTAACATCAATCTTGGTGATTTATGTTTGGATTTGACATCAAAAGTAAAGGGAAAAAAATATATAAATAAATAAGTAGGACTACATTAAACTAAAAAGCTCTGCAGAGCAGAGGGAAACTATCAACAAAATAATGGGAAAAATATTGGAAAAACATATACCTTTAAGGAGTTAATACCCTAAATACATAAAGGACCCTACAACTTAATAGAAAAACAATCTGATTAAAAAATGGGCAGAGGATCTGAATAAGTATTTTTCCAAAAAGATAAACAGATGGTCAACAGGTATATGAAAAGATGTTTAACATCACTAATCATCAGGGGAAAGCAAATAAAACTACAATGAGATATTCCTTCAAAAAACTATTGTCAAAAATACTACAAATAACAAGTGTTGGACAGGATATAAGAAAAAGGGAACCCTTGTGCACTCTTGGTGGAAATGTAAATTGATACAGCTGCTATGAAAAATGGTATGGAGGTTCCTCAAAATAATTAAAAAACAGAACTACCATATGATCCAGCAACCCACTCCTGGGTATTTATCTGAAGAAAATGAAAACACAAACTCAAAAAGATATATACACCCTCATGTTTATTGCAGTGTTGTTTATAAAAGCCAAGAAATGGAAACAACCTAAGTGTCTACTGATGGATAAAGAAATGTGGTATAGATGTACAAGTGAATATTATTTATTCTCCCCTAAAAATTAAGGAAATCTTGCCATTTGTGAAAACATCTATGGACCGTAAGGGCATTATGACAAATGAAGTTAAGTCAGAGAGAGAAAGACAAATACTGTATGATCTTATTTATATGTGGAATCTAAAAATAAAAAAATAAAAACAAACAAACCTAGCTCATGGATACAGAGAGCAGAACGGTGGCTGCCATAGGCAAGAGGTGAAATGTCAGTGAAATAGGTGAAGGGGATAAAAGGGTACAATCTTCCAGTTATTAAATACATAAGTCATGGGAACGTAATGTACAGTACAGAGGCTATAGTTAATAATGCTGTATTGCATATTTGAAAGTTACTAGAGAATACATCTTAAAAGTTCTCATAACAAGAAAGAAAAATTTTCGCAACCATGTATGTTGATGGATGTCAAATGGAAACATTATGATGATCATTTCATAATGTGTACACATATCAATAATTACATTGTACATATGAAACTAATATTAATGTTACATGTCAATTATACCTCAATATAAAAAGTGTAAGGCTTCTGTGCATCAAAGGACATTATCAAGAATGTAAAAAGGGAAAACTCCCACCAAGATGGAGGTGTAGGTAGACACACTGTGCCTACTTGCACAACCAAAATAAGGACAACAACAATTTAGAAACAAAATAACTAGAACTGACAGAAAATTGAACTGTATGGAAGTCCGACAACCAAGGAGTTAAAATAGACACATTCATCCAGACTGGTAGGTGGGGTGGAGCCAGAGGGCCGGGCAGAGAGAGGTCCCAGAACAAAAAGCAGTGGCATAGGGCATGCAAGGCACCCCGGGCTCGCAAGATGGCAATAGGCAGGCCCTGGGAGCGCAGGCAGCAGCTGACAGACCCCAGGTACAGGGTGGCAATGGGCAAACCCAGCTAGGTGGTGATTATGAAGCGAGGCACTGTGCTCAAGGTGGCTGGCTGGCTGACTGGGTGGTCCCACATTTGCACACAGATAAACCAGGCGAAACTGGGGAGTGAGACAGACTGTGTCGCCCAAGGCCCCAGCTCGGGGAAATAAAGCCTCGAAACACCGATTGAAAACACCTGTGGGGGTTGAGGGGGCAGGAGAAACTCCCAGCCTCACAGGAGAGTTCGCTGAAGAGACCTACAGGGTCCTAGAATGTACAGAAGCCCACCCGCAAGGGAATCAGCACCAGAAGGACCCAATTTGCTTGTGGGAAGTGGGGGAAGTGACTGAAATCTGGCAGAGAGCGGAGCAAGGCGTCATTGTTCCCTCTTGAACCCCTGCCCCACATACAGCACCACAACACAGTGACTGGGTTGCCCTGCCCTGGTGAACACCCAAGACTCTCTCACTATGTAACAGGCATGCTGAGACCAAAAAAAAAAAAAAAAAAGAAGAGGCCCAAATGAAAGAACAGATCTAAGCTTCAGAAAAAATACAACTAAGTGACAAAGAAATAGCCAATCTATCAGATGCACAGTTCAAAGCACTGGTGATCAGGATGCTCACAGAATGGGTTGAATTTGGTCGCAAATTAGAGGAAAAAATGAAGGCAAATGTACAGGGAACCAATAGTGATGGGAAGGAAAATGGGACTCAAATCAAAGGTGTGGACCAGAAGGAAGAAAGAAACAACCAAACAGAAAAGAATGAAGAAACAAGAATTCAAAAAAAATGAGGACGGGCTTAGGAACCTCCAGGACATCTTTAAACATTCCAACATCCA